GAGTTGACACGGGAGTTGACGTTCGACGCTGGGCGAGATGCTATGTAGCTGCCAGGACGACTCCCAAGCGTATGACGAATGCGCAGATTCTGTTGCGAGCGTGCAAAGGAATTTGCCCTTGAACCGGAAGGAATCTTGGACAGCCGTCGGCCGTGAGTCTGAAGCTCGACTCTCGCATCGGACAGCTGCTGGGCAAATGGCGACCGCTTGCGGAGTGTTGGTCCGTACCAGTAGATAACGTATACTGCAATGACAAGAAGGAAAGAGATACAGACTGGAAAAAAGGCCGTTAGTTTCCCATATTCTTAGACGCAAAGCACATCAATGATAAGACTCACATAGAATGGTAGACGCGTATTCCAAGTGGTATTTCCCGCCAATGTCTAAAGTCATCTGTTAGAATCTCATATAAACTGTGACGGTGATATGTTGCTTACTCTCAAAGAAGGGTGTGGCAGGAATGGTGAGAACACCTGCCAAGAAATCTCGAGACCATCCGTTGCCGCCCGTTGCAGAAGCCGAGTACGGTCCGTATGCGCAGATCATGTAATCGATAGTGGCCATGTAAATGCTGTAGTTAGCAATACCGACGATGGCAGAGAATACCATGCTCCCAATCCAGTGGACTGGGGGTCCCAGACTGGTCCACGCAAAACCAATCAAGCCAATAGGCAAGCAGGGGGCAGTATAGAGAAGGAACCAAAGTCGAGATTCGTACTGAGCCCGCTCATCGTCAGGCTTCCTGCGCCGCTCCTCAATGTTCCTTTTGATGACGGGGATGAAAGCGCCCCATGCAATAAAGTAGCCCACGAGGATGGGAAGGAACGATAGGCCTAGCTCCACGGTGCCGAAACCCCACTGGTCATACACGAGGCTGAACGATTGAATGAACATGAAGATCAGGGCGTCACTGAAACCACTCAGCAGAGACAGGGTGAGGACAATTGGCTCCGTCAAGAACATTTTAAAGGGACGGATCCAGGTGATGAGGACTTCGTGCATTGAAAAGCGGTCCTTGAAAGGGACCAGCTCGTTCGGCCCATAAATATTGGGATCTTCGCCGCTTTCCCTTCGCTTCTTTGCGATACGGTCCATCATAATCGTTGTCCGCGTCTCAGGGACCAGCAGGAAGTGCGCCACCTGCACGAAACCCCCAAATATAAGCTGAATCCAGATGTTCCAGCGCCACGGCAGATATGCTTCCACAAATCCTCCAACAACTGGTCCGATCACTGAGCCACCCACTGAAGAAAATACCACGCAGGCGACAGCATACTGCTGGTCATCGGCTTCCCAAAGGTCTGCGATCATACCCAGAGTAACCGAGCCACCAGCTGAGCTAAGACCTCCCAGAGCACGTCCTACCATGATAGATGCAAAATTGGGGGCGAGCGCAACGGGAAGTTGCCAAATGTTCACAAGGAACAGACTGAGCTGTAAAATCGGCTTCCGACCCAGTTCCTCACTCCATGGTGCCCAAAGCTCGCAACCAAAGGCGTAGAGAACCAAGAAAATCATAGCACCACACCGAGCAGCTTGCATGCTGACTCCGAATTCTTCGGATATACCGGTGAGGGCGTTGGAGTAGAGACTGGTATTGAAGTTCATTGATGTTTGGACAAGAAAGATCACGGAAATGATCATCCATTTCTTCCAGCTGGGAAAGGCATAGCCGAGTTGGTCGTAGCAGTCTTCCTCAGTCAGCTCGACCTTTTCGGACGCGGCATTCTCTAACTGGTGTAGAGTAGTTCCAGCGTTGGGGTCTGATGGAAGCGGTTGAGACTTTTGCTGCTGTTCCAGAGCCTTTTCGGTTGCTGGATCAAGAATGGTGTCGGTATGAGTAGAAGACGAGGCTTCTGACTCATGAATCTTTTCATGATTACTCATGTCTTTGTCTGGGCGAGAAGCCATGATGCGCACTGTAACGTACTGAATTAGTCGCTGCATGGTGTTTGATTGGAAGAAATGTAGAGTGTGAGAATGTTGGGAAAAGAAAGCAAAGCATGAAGCGCAGAGATGCTTGTAGGTTCACGCCATCATGTGATAGTCACATTGGTGTATGAATAGCATGTACTTACAGCCGACCCAGACTAAATAAAGATAGAGAAGACCAGGCAATCAAGACGAGCAAGTGAGAATGGCAATAGCAAATCACTGGAGGGGAGGAAGGAGCACTGAGAAGTTCTTGTTAAGGGAAGGACTGGAAATTGAGTATAGGGAGGAAGAAAAAGGAAGAAAAAGAGCAGGAGTGGGCGGAGAGGGAGGAAGTAATAGAAGTAATCACAAGCAGCAGATGACGGTGATTGGGTTAGGCCAGAAAGGGAAAGAGCGCAAGAGGACTGGAGAAAGAGATCAGGCCTACCTAGGACTAGTATCAAAAACTACTTTTTCAGGAAAGTACCCCAGAAAAGGTAACCGCGATGGGGTTCTATCACGGTACTTATATCCCAATAACCAGTCGCATCAGGGGAAGAAGTGGGTGATGTTACCGCAACACCCATGGATCGCACGGGCAGCACTGCAGGAATGACTGCTTTATATCAATCCACCAGTTTTCCTATTCCTCTCCAATGAGAGCTGGAGATTGTACATTTAGAGTTCAGACGGTCCAGGCGTCTCCGATGACTCGGGGCATGGGGAATTAGTTCACTTTGACCTTTCAAGTTCGATTTACACTTTTTTCTTTCTTGCTGCAACTTCAGCCGTCGGCCCCCTTTCTACTTTGCCACTCACCATGATTAAGGCCTGGTCTCTGTGGCTTGTAATAATGATAATAGCACTCGCATGAATTCTTGACAGGACTGGCATAACTCAAATTAGGGGAGATTGGATGCATATTGGCCGGCTGGGGTGTTGGGTATCGGTCGTCTTTGGCCAAGCAGCCGGCCGCACACGGTTAGGGCCGAATGATGATGCATTTGGCCTGCCGAATCAGGACCGGCGTGGTAAGTACTACATACCACCTAAACCAAACTCCAAAGAGTCCACTTGCCACGCTGACACGGCCAGTCATTTGTCAGGTAGCTCTGGGGCGATGCTGATGGATGGATCCATCGTGCTTAACTCCGTCCTTAACATCATTCCTTGATCACTCATCGCCTGACCTCTGGGGGAAACCGGTTGAGATCCCAGAGCCAGGAGTGGTCGGCGCGCCCACTACGGCTTCCCCACTTCGGTGGTTGTCGATATTCAGTACTCCCACTGGAGCCGTTCTGGGCCGACGGGACTACGGTCTCGAGAATGCCCGTTTCGGGGAAGCCTGCCACGATACGGGTGCGGGAGGACTTCCTCTTACGGTGAGAGATTGCGAGTTATGTTGAGAACACCGCACTTTAGACTTTGTGCGTCAAACTACATTTTATGAAAAAGGCGCCCTGGACAGGCCGAGAAGGTCCAGCCTGTCAATAATGCGGAGGCAAAAGTGTGCCCACGCAAGGGGTCGGGGTCTCCAGGTGGCCATGGGCGCTGTACATGACTGCGTGGCCTCCCGAGCAGATGGGTCATGAAAGCTGACAACCATGAGAAAGAAAAAATTTTTAACAAAAGATATACGCTAAATACTGCTAGTGTTCCTGTCCGGGTTTTGGAGTCCGGGGGGGAGGGTGGGTTGCAAAGAACAGGAAGCCACAGCATTGGTCTGTGTTCCGCTTTTTAGGCGGTTTCCATGTTGGACCCAGTTTTTCCTCATCGCATTTCCCACGGGGTTGGATTAGCTGGTCTCGGGGTAGCCGGGGGTGACGTCAAGCCTTCCCTGACCAAGGCGATCGGCGCCCCAATGCTTTTTTTTCTCTCACGTATTACAAGTGTGTCATCGGCTTATTCAAGTCCTGGGGGTTTGTGTTCCTTCAATACCGTCATTGACTGTTTCGATGGTCGTCGATGTGGTCATGCTAATGCATCTGAACATGTAGGGGGAAATAAGCAGTCAATGATCACGTTTCCCCTACTTTCCAGAAGGCTGTATCGAAACCCGTCGTCGATCGAGCGCCATCACATAAGCCAAGCGGTTGATATACAAGGTTTCAGCAAGCCTCAAGACTTCCACCAGGACTGTTGACACACAAACCAGTGATGACTACTCCGCCACCAACAGGATGGTCGAACCTCCTGATCTCACATGGATAAATGGGTTGACCCCTGGCTAGTGTCTCGTAGGTGGAGATGGCGAGGTCAACTTCAATGAAGTCACTAAACAACTTCGGTAGTCTGTACCGATACGAAGCAACAATCAACCATAGGCTGTTGCATACAGCTGTTATGTAAAATATAAACGAACCAGGAATGTTGAAGGATTCCAGTCTCCTTAGCCAGGAAGCAGTAGTACCCTCTGGAAGGGTCCGATTGTCGGGACATGGAGTACAAAGTACTACTACTATACCAAGAGCCTAGCACCGAGGCCAATTTGTCCTGGTGGCTCTGTATGGTCGGATAGTGCCGCCTTCCCACTCTCAAGGTTTGTCAAGACTTGACGCCAAGATGGTGTGGCGGATGATCCCCTGGTAAGCAGACAAATTTTGACTGTTGAGTGTACAAAGTACAGCCCGATGAGCCGGGTTCTCTCTGCAGGGACTCTCATGCCCCAGCAAGCATTCTTTAGAGGGGGAGGGGGCAACAGAATGTTCGATTGCATTGTGCTGCGATCTCACTTAGGCTTTTTATCCATTGACAACCACTGAAAAATTCCCCGAAACATTCAGATCGATCTGTTCACGTGTGCGTGGGGGTTGAAGTGGTATTCGGGAGATGACCGAAACCCGGACCGGCTTGCAACACCGTTTCCAGGGAGAAGCAGCGACTCCAGGCTTTCCCCGGTCCAGACCGACTTGGATGCCGGATCCAGTGTCTCGTAGAACTAGGCCGAATCTAGGCATCCCGTGATCATAGGTCCCGTCAGCAAAGCGTCAGTCTGACTTTGTCCCTTTTGAGGGTTGAGCCAGACCGCCTTCTTAGTACAGTCACCCCCCGCCTTCAGGTGCAGGAATGCGGCACGCCGGCTCCAGCTCTGCAATCCACTGCAACCAACCCATTGTTTGAACCAGTCCGTGGCAGCAAGTGGTCGCAGACACACTGTTCAGTTAACGGTTCTCGCCAAAAAAGTGGTGGTTTGATCTTTCAGTTGGACCTACCTGGTCAACAGACCCACTGTCATCCATTGGCCGGCCTCCTTTAACCTGCTTCCCCAAGTCATGTCGCCCGATATCAACTCTCTGTCCCCGACCTGGTCCACTACTTCTTCCCCGCGTCAACGTCGGATGGCCCCGACTTTATCCGACTCCTTATCGTCACAGCATACTCAGCCAGACTTTCCTTCTGCAGCCCTGCCCAATATGAATAACGGTTCAGCAAATAACCATAGCAACATCATTGCCACTGATCTGCCTCACCGGCCCTCTCACAGTCATCGCTCCAGCATGTCAGGATCGGAACGCCGCCGGTCCCGTACCGGTTCCAGTTCTCTCCTGAACAATGGCCATAATAGCGCTAGTGATTCGGCCCCCGGGGAACCGACCACAACCCCCCACGACCACCACCGGTCTTCCTTTGGCCATAATGGGCTTCGCACCTCCAGTCCGCTCAGTAGTGTCGGGGGGAACCCGACCGTTGCCACCGGGGACCCGCATCATCAACGTGCGCCGTCCCTGGGGGAGCTCCATCAGGAATTAGAACAAGAACAAGAAGCACAAGTGGTATGATCCAACTATTACTGTGTCACTGCCCGGCGCATTCTTTGTTGCTATCGCACCACCATGAGTAAGAGATAGCCACTAACCACGCCCCTTGAAAATGACTAGAACCGTCTTTTACACATGATCCGAAGCCAGCAAGCTCAGCTGCAGCACCTTCAACAGCAACAACAACACTCGCAGGCCGTGGTGGATGACTCTGGTCCTGCGGAACGGCTGACCCCATTCCCCCCAATTCCCCCGCTCCCCACAACCAGCAGTCGGGCGTCAACCCAATTGCCTTCCTCCTTGTCCAGCCGGCGACCCTCCCGCCCGTCTAGTCAAGCCGCTTCACCCAATCTCCGACCGCTGGCCGAGCCGTCGTGCGGGTCAGAGGGACCGGATTGGAGTGCAGGCCCCGGTGAGAGCCCAGCCCGGCGGGGAAGCAGGGATGAAAGCGCATTTTACCAGGCGGAGGCAGCGATGCTGACGCGCGAAAACCAAATGCTCCGACAGCGAATCCGCGATTTAGGTGCGCGATTTCCCATCCTCCCTTTTTGCTTTACTATCCTTCGTTTCCTTTCATCCACTACTACTGAGGCGCACAGAGCCTCAAAAAAGCCTTTACTTAGACTTTTGTGCTGACGGCGTATAGAACGCCAAGTTAGTGAGCTGACCTCTGGTGCCCGATCAAGCGAGATCCCTGCGGCACCTACCGCACAAGGAACCGAGGCCGTAGATCACCCAGCGTCCGCAGGAGTGGGATCGGCGAACGAGTCGTCAGACAAGACCTGATTGACCAGGAGCCACATGGGAGGCCTTTGTTCTTGCCCTCTTACACTTCTTCTTTTTACAGTGTATTTTGCGGGATTACGGAGTGCAGCACTCTCTCCAGATCAGCAGTGATCAGCATGTTCTTGTGATAGGGGGAAAAAGCCACGTCGGTATCTGAGCGGGCGTTCATGCGCAGCAAATAAATATCCCTCCACGATTTTCGTCTGCGCATGATCCTAACATCTGTCCATACTATGTTATAGTAGTGGCTGTGCGGTGGGCATATGAATACTCCTCGACCACCAACACCCGTAGTTAGCCGCGTGTACTCGGGCCCCCGATGTGTGTGGGGTACATACGTACACTTAAGTAGGTGCATAGGCAACATGAAAAAGAATGCGTGACCATAATGACCCCGACTTCACATCCAATGAAGAAAACATACATACGTTAGCGCATACGTTGGAAGCAAAAACTTAGTCTACTCCAGGCTGTCTGTCTGTCTGATTGTTCTCCACGAGCCCGCCACGCGGCTTTTTCTCCTCCCTTGCTCGAAAGTCAAATGTCATATTAAGTTACTTAGTGTCGTTATCAACATGTTGTTGACACAACTGCGGGTTTTATTTAGAGTTTACCCCTAGCTGTTACTAAGCTAAAGCTTACTTGTCATACTGTGTGTGCTTACCGGTTACTTAACGAGGAAGTTCTACGACGGGTGGGTTTGCTGTACATCTGTCTGTTATTATGTTTTGGTTAAAGTGGGGTATTATTAATAATAAGATAGCATTGACATCGAGGATGATATATATTACTATGTGCATAGGAAGCTTGCTTGGTGAAATGGAAAAATCGGGGTGTTAGGGTAAATGAGTGGCTGCCAACTAAATATTACCTACTACTTAGGACTAAAGATATATGTTCAGGTCGTTGATATTGTTATAGTTATAAATTGATGATATCTTCTGGACTGAACAGTCGTTGAGTAGTGGGTGATTGATGCTGGATACTAGCGACGACTCAGACTACCTTGTATCTGATAAGTACACACACACCGATGTATTCAATAGCTTGGACCTTGAATTATTGTGATGATCTAGGGATTGACTCGTAATACCCAACCAGACATTTGAGTCCCTCGACGAGGTCCCTCAGAATAGATAATTTCGGCCCATAGCTCTCTTGGAACCATTCATTTCAAACACCAGTTTCATGATTTCATCCATCTCAGATCTGATTCTTGTTCGTACTTGAAAGACACGGAAATCACTCGAGATCCGGTGCACGTTATCATTCTCAACATGGTCTTCTACCCAACGGCCAAACAGGCAATCAGACGAGCTTGGAGCACTATAAAAGCTCCTTTTCGGACCGTTGATGACGAATTTTATGGTTTCATTAAAGAAATTCCCCAGATGAGACGTCGATGCAATCACCCACTTAATGGTGTGATTGTCCTTCGAAGTATTACTTTTCTTGGTGCTTTCTCGTGAATACTGTCCCAAAGCACACAGTATCCAATTTCAATAAAATCCGCTTCGTGGACTCGCAGATTGGAGTTTTGGCATCCACAGGTTCTGAGTCATCGTTGTTGGGCATTAGTCTGGTGCATTGACAAAGTCCGCAGTTGGATCAGAGAGTCTTCGACGGAGCCGAGCTTCATCTTCTGCTCGGTTTCATTCATTATACTCTCAGATCTATGTGGTGTGCTCTTTCTCGGTACAACCTACCCACACATCTCTGACGAAAATCATTTTGCATAGCATACTAATGAGGATAATCATGATCGTCGTTCATGCAATGGGAGCGTGACAGCAAGATAGTTAGTCAGTAGCATCATGCTGTGTTTTTAGGTCTTCCACATGCAACCACCAAAGCAGTCAAGAGGAATCTCATAACCAAGATATTTGTTCCCCTCTCTTTAGGGGATTGACTGTAGTATATAGAGGACACACCTAGCCAAGTGCATAGGTGGGGAAGTAGTAGATCGTCGGTGGAATCCTTATCACTCGTCGTTATTATTCACAAAGTTGATGGTAGTGTACCTCTTTTCCCTTGATGTGTTGCTAATGTTAGAATTAGCAATGATAGATCTCAGACCAGCAGTAGTTGCTGTATTCGCTTGAGTATTCCACCGAGATGAAGGTCGTTATGCTCGGCTGCGGAGTCTTGTCTATAAAAGCTAGGAAGAACAACGACTCCGAAGGCATTGCAGTGGTGGTCTAAGCAAGACAGACCTAGCTGGTTAATCCAGTCATGGAAGGCATGGCCGGTTTTCGTATGGTCAAAGACCAGTTGTGTGCATGCTATCAGCAGTACAGGAGGAAACAAAGAGGGGCAATGTTTGCCATCTTCGTCAGATGAAGGGATCATTGTATATCCCGGCTATGCAATGTGGATATATCGTGTGTTTGATATTAGAGTGGTTCACAAGTAGTAAGATGCTCAACAGAAGTCGGGTGTCGTGATCTCTCAAAAGATTAGGAAAAATATTGCACTGCGTCAGTTCTCTTTAGGTCGCTCGTCTCTTCCATCGTATGTAATCATCCTCGAAATCATATGGTTGAATGCACAGACCGACCAAACCGAAGTCAGTTGAGCGACGAATGGTTTTTACATCGCTGTTGGTGATCTTCTAGCTTATCTCAGGGCTATGGGCAGAACCTTCATTTCCAGAAGCTGTAGTCTTCACTTTTTCCTGGTCTAAATTAATCCACATTCAACCCTAACACATCCAGCCAGTCAGGATTAAATATCTTGGGTCTGCTACGACTCCAGGGCCAGCACTCGCTTGAGAACTCCGCCATCGCTACCGGCAAGTGGGTCAGCCCCAGGACCATCTATGTCTTCCTTTGCTGCTCATGTCTGGTGCTGATGCGAGCCTCTAGGCTTTTTTGCTTGTTAGACGACCAGGTAATGGGACCGCCGGCGTAGAATATGACGTATCCCTCTGTAGATTTGCCATCTTCGTGATCGGCATGTGCAGCATCCTGTAGACTTCGATTCCTTTGGTGTGATCAGGTGCCAGCGTGATCACGTAGTTAGTGGTGTCTCGCAGATATCTGTATACAACCTTCAACGCTTTCGCATCTGCCGCAGTAGGGGCGTGCATGCGTCTCTGGAGGCGAAACGTGGCGTGACGTAGATCAGGCCTCGTTTTAGTGGTCAACCAATTCAACCTGCCTACGAGGCTCTGATATTCGTTAACATCAACGCCTTCGGTTGACATGGTAATGCGGTCCGCCTTTTCTGTAGGTAGGGGTCATAGGGATAGCGACGCCTGAGCAAGATTGCATGCCTGCAGCAGCGAGGTAGGCTGGATTTATCATCGACTTGCTTTTGATCATGAAAACTTCCATCAGTATGAGCGATAGTAGGCTGCCGTCCTAGGCTCTCCATTCGTCATCGGGGCGTCCAACATGCTCCCGAATACGAGGCTTGATCATCTTCGAGTAGCGAGACGCGATATTGCCGCAGCAATGCGGTAGATATGGATATATGCCATGCTCGATATCGGCAAGATTGATTTGTCGCATCGGTACTAATTGTAAATCCGGGATCAATGCAAACGCCAGCCGCCCGCCCCCACGCCATCAACTGTACCATGAGCAATGCGAACATCGCACGACCGAATGCCTTCATCTCACGGTAGGTAAGGACCAACCAGAAGAGATGGAGTTTTGCATTTGACTCTAGTCATCGGGCTATTTTTCGTGATGTAATTGACTTCATGCAGGGAACAGAGCAGGCTTTCTTGGAGAATCGATCGACTACCACAAGGACTGAGTCACAACAATGTTCAGCAGGAGGAAAGAATCGGAAGTCTATAAGATATGTTTCCGATTGGTAAAGCAGTTTGTACTTGACTGTAACCACCTGCTGTAGAAGCGGTCACTTTTCATCGAGCGTGAGTATTCTGGCGGTCCGATAGGCATTGATGCTGGCCTTTCTTAGTAATAGCATTCAGCTTTCGATAATCGATGCAAAACCGTAGGCCACCGACAGGCTTCATCGTCAAGTCTTGGTAAGGCAAATGATTCATCGTCAAGAAGGATTCACATCTCATGGATGTTTGCAATGATAACCCCTTTGACGATTCGAGCTCCTCAAGCGTCATAATATAGGGTGACGTCCAAAAGAAACTGGCCGTACTTGCCAGGCTTGAACCGTTTCAGCCCGGCGGGAAATAGTATATGCTAGCTGCAAGTTCCGAGTCCGACGAACAGGTGTTCAATATCATCTCCAACGGTTGCTATCTCGATTTTGTCGAGGGCTCCTCCAACCTCGTCATCTGCTCCTGAATCCCTGGTCTATGCCGGAGTTGAAGGTAGCCTACCACCGGATATTCTTTGTCTTCATCGGCGAAGAAGAAAAGGAAAGCATTATCCGTGGTGAACGACGAAACAATCCTGTTCAGGAAATTGAGATTGCCTGCATTGGCTAGCTCGAGCCCTTTGAGCTTCTCTCCTACATTAATAGTTGGTATGGATTCAACCTACCACCGGATTACTTCTTCTTTATGCGCAAGAAGAAAAGGGAAGCAATATCCGTGGTGAACGACGTATCATCTCTGGGGCCTTTCGTGAGACCTTGAAGATTAGTTGATCAACGACAGGGGACACCATTCGTGTCGCCATAGTCAAAGTTATGCTCGGGATTATCGAGGGTGTCTCAGACGCGGACACCGAACATGTGTACCTCTTCGAGCAATTCAGTCCGTCTTGGTTCTGTGAAGAGGAGCAAATCGATTGTATACGGTATCCAAGATAACAGCACGAATGCGTTGCTCTTGGCACATCTCCTCTGAAAAGTCAGATGATTAGACTTGCCCACCGGATACCTTGAGATATTCAAGACAGCCCCTAAGACGCAGTTGAGTGCTGGGTGGAAACAAGAATATGGTTGGCTTCCAGTGGCCCCCCGTCCTCATTGCTGCAGAAGAATATATATTAATAGTATAGGTTGTTTTCGGGAAGTTTTCAGTGCGTGTATAAGCCACCCCATATCTGATTCCTTTCTTCCAAACGAGACAAAACAGGCTTGATGTTGACTGCTATCCTTGCCTGCGCCATCAGCCTCAGTCTCAGTGATTATATCCAAAGCCGTTCGAACATGGACATCTCTAGACGTTATAGCAACTGATAACATTTGATGGACTTTCCTTGAGATGCACTGTGGATCCTTTGAGCGATGAAGGATGAAGAGAGTCAAATTGAGGCACGGCAAGACGACTGATTGTTTTCACATGTCGAGATGTTGAGTACTTGCTGCGTGATATATAGTGGTATATGCAAGGAGGCACCTTCATTCAGCTGGGATACAAGTATCTCGCAACAGAATCTGATCTTCTAATGCCCTTGTTTATCAGAGAGCCCAGTACACTCGTTCAGAGTCACAGACTTGCGCCCTAGTTGCCCGCATCTTTTGAATGCCGCCAATTGCTATAATGACTGATCATTGACGTTTGAT